GTCAGCTAGTTCAGTCAGGCTTTCTCGCTGTTCGATACGTACGTACCAGTGAGAACATAGCTGACATACTCACGAAGGGACTTGGGCGTGAAGCGCACAAGTACCTGAGTGAGAGAGTTACAGGCAGGGTTAGATGGCAGTGAGTTTGTTGAAACGTGGAAGGGCAACAAGGGATGAATGAGTCTGCATCTGTGTACCTCCTTGGTGTGTTGTGGTCACTTGGGAAGGAAGGCCATCGTGGATGTGTTGTGATATGCTGTAACTGTTCCATCTGTGCACACACCACACCATTCGTGCTCATGCTTATGCTGATCTGTCCACTTGTCCACTGTGTGTGTGCGTTCGCTACCCAATGGTCATTTTCTGGATGCCTTTATGCTTTCTTCGTGATTTTCTTTACTTGAGTACACGCCGTGATGGTTCGTCTTGAGAGGGGGTGTCAGGATTGCCAGCTTGGCAAGACGAACCACTGCGAGCTTGTGAGCTAGGGTAGATTGCTGTGTAACGGAGAGAGAGAGGTGGAAGAGGAGAAGATAAGGAAAGAGAAGGAAAGCATTCTGAGGAGACACGATCTTATCAGCCATCACCGAAGTGGGATCTGTGTTGACCACTCTTCATGGTGCCATACATGGACAAAAACAACTTTCACTGGCCAGTCCATCGGTCTTACTAAGGTAAAAGCACTCTTATTCTGGGACTTACCGCCCAGCAGATCCTCTATTCAGCTAACTACAGGAAAGGTCCTCACCGGCCTTTTCGCTCACAGCACTCCTCAGATCGTGCTCTTCCTCTCGCGACCCAAGCTCGCAGACGCGGCTAAGAATGACGGGCTCATTGACCGCCCACTGCTCATCCCAGGCACGGCAGAGACCAGATCTCGGACAGATCAAGACAGACTAGATTTGTTGTTTCTCTGCGTCAGCATCTGAGCTGGCTGACGCAATGGAGTTCCCCGCCTTCCGGACGGCAGAGTGGATTAGAGACAACTACAGCAAGGGTCGGCCGCCGCCCGAGGTGCTGGAGGGAGTGGATCTGTCGCCGCGGTACATGCTGAGCTTCGAGACCATTGGGCTCTACATGGACAAGGTCAGGGCCGTCAAGGATGAGATAAGGAGGGCTCTGTTCAGGCAATCGCTCTACAAGGTGATAGAGAGGGCGGCTGGGCTGCATGTCGGTCGAGTGTGAGTGTGTTTTCTGTGTGTGCGCGTGTCTGTCTGCAGGTTCAGAATGTTGAGGTAACGTACATGGCTTCCTGTCCTCGGCCGCGAGTGCTCAAGACGGTCGAGAAGAACGCAAAGCCACTCAATCTGAGCATACTCAGGCCAAAGGCAGGCACCAGAGCAGAGCCACACACAGATCAATCAAACGACATACCGGCGCCTTCTGCACTGTGTGCTGTGCTGTGTGTGTGTGTCGGTGCAGGATGTGACACTGCTGTGCGAGGAGTTCTGGACTGTGGACAGATGTGGATCTGACGCCAGATACAGGGTGGGAGGGAGGGAGGGGTGGTATAGCAAATGAGACAGACGGACAGACAGACAGCCCGAGCCAGGCATTGGTTGCTGTGCTGGTTGTTGTCTGTCTGTTGGCTTTCATTGTGCAGGTGCGTTATTACAAGGAGGGAGGCGACGGGTTTTCATCTGAGGTGTACCCCTGCCACCTCAGAGATATGTTCAGTGCACTTCGGTACTACCTGGCTTGACAGCCGACCGGATGGATGGATGGACGGATGAGCCATCCCACCCACGAGTGACTGACTGCCTTACTGACTGCCACTTTGCCTGTATATTTAGCTTTCTGGAGGGTTTCAAACCCTTGACCCTAATCCACTGACCAGCGGATCTCTCTCGAATGGAGCTGCTCCTCCTCTTTATTGCCTTCCTCCTGGACGCATCTGCCGCGTCCGCATTCCTCCACCCCTCATCACTTTCAGCCAACCATCGATACCCATCACGTCGCCCATCTCCCACGCCAAGCAAGGCCACTCTCGCATCACCGGCTGTGGCGGCACGGAGGTCCTCACGGCCGCCAGATCTACTCAAGAAAGAGCTGCTGAGGCTGTCTGAAGAGGCAGAACAGGGCCAAGTGCGGGCGGCCGATGTGACGAGCCGCATCCTCGCTGTTGCTGATGAGCTGGCGTCCATCTCCCCAGTTGCGGACAGTGCCAGCTCTGCCCTGCTGGACGGGGTGTGGCAATTCTGTTGGAACAACGACGCTGAGGCGCTCGCCCTCCTCTCCAACCCGCTCTACTCGAGGGCAACGACGGCCTACCAGGAGATCGACACGTCCGGCGAGCAGTGCAGGGTGACCACGGTGCTGCTCTACAACGACACACAGTCCTCTGTCCGGCTGTTCGTTGACGCCGAGCCGCAGGAGTCTGGGCCGCGTGTGGCCATCAAGTTCAGCAGGGCCGTCACTTCGGTCCGCGGCCTGCCTGAGGTGGCGCTCCCTCTCCCCTTTAGTGGGTGGTTCGACAATGTCTACCTCGACAGTGACTTCAGGGTATCAAGGGTAAGGGAGGAGGGTGAGGGAGGGACTGACTGATTGGGGGGAGCAAGAAAGTGCATCCATACCGCTCTTCGTGTGTGTGTGTGTGTGTGTGTGTGTGCAGGACAGTAGAGGCGCGACATTCATCTGGACGAGGAGGCCAGAAGCTCCGTCAGAGTGGGGCACTCAGCGGCCGACAGAGCGGTGGAGCCGACGGCTGGCGGACCTGCTGGCGTCGGGGAGGAGTGGGGACGCTGATGCAGGTCGTTCACGAGAGATCGAGGGCCTTGTCGGCCTTCTCGCACGCAACCCCACACGCTTCGACCGGACTGCACTCGACGGCGAGCGAGAGAATGTGTGGAGCTCAGGACCTCTGTGGCAGACCGTCCTCTCGCCATGGGCCCGCACCTTCCAGACCTGGGACACAGCGACATCCACCCTTGAGACCCGCACCGAGTTCAGAAGCTGGCCGGGGGCGAGTGTCATTGCCCGCAGCTCGCTCAGTGAGGACGACCCTTCAAGAGGAATCACGCCCAAGGGCTTTACTACCACCGAGGAGAGGGCCAGTGTCAGGTGGGGTGGTTCGGAGACCGGCTTGTGGGTCAGTGGAGATCGTAAGGTGACTGTTCTTCATGTGGATGAGAGGCTGAGGGTTTTGGAGGGGGAGGGGGGCGAGAGGGTGGTGCAGCTGCGCGTGCCTCCAGCAGCCGAGTGAAGAGGGAGGGAAGGGAGGCACTACAGCGCATACTCGGCCGAGCGATGGATGGACATTTTGATGCATGTATGCCAGATGTCTGTATGTTTTTGTCGTGTGGGAGGGACCGGACCATTCATTCACACAAACAACGGAGGCTTGCGTCCACGGTTGTGTCAATACACGTTGCTTGCGTCACGAGTCGGCAACACTCTCTCGTCGACCGACAATCGCGTAAGAATGTATGTCACCAATCCGGTTAATCGCACATGTATGTATGTATGTGTATATCTCGAGAGGGACGCTCAGACAGAGGGGCAAGAAGGCGCGGGCAGGCAGACAACAGGCCGGCCAATGCGCTCACCCAACTCTCCTCACTCACTGACGACATTCGCCACATACACAGCCAATCAGGCCATGCAGTGCAACGCAACGCAACGCAATGCAATGCAGCCCTCCCTCCTCCCCCAAACGGTCCTCTGTACACAGCCAATCAAATCAGCAGGCGCTCCTTCTCCTCGGCAAAAAGGGAAAAAACAAGTAGGCTTGCGCACAGTCAGTCCCGCTAATCTTTCGGCGGCCCTCCTCCCTCCCCCTCCCCCTCCCCCTCCTTCTCCCCCTTCTCGTTGTCCTCATCGCTCCCCACCACCCTGAGCTTTGCCCGGCTGCTCAGCTTCATCATCAGCAGTGCATAGAGCACCCGATCTGTCTCGAGGATCCGATACACGCGCACATCCCGCTGCTCCGCGTCGCTGAGGCGGGCCCACTCCTCCTTGGCCGCCCGGCGGATCATGCCGGACAAGAGGCTCCTCTCGCGGTCCAGTTTGTCCCACTCCTCGTCATTGTTGAGCAGACGGAACGGGTCTTCGTTCCACGTCGCAACGAAGAGCTGCACCGCGACGTTCTCAGACACCGACATGAGATACTCGCACCACGCACAGTGGAACCTGTGTGACCCAACCACGCACACACATTCAGGGCGTTTCCGCCTCTCTCTCTCTCTCTCTCTCTGTGTGTGTGTGTGTGTGTGTGTGTGTGTGTGGGCGTTGGCGTCATCTCCGTCACTTACTGAGGCGTGTTGAGTTTGGTCTTGTTCTTGAGCGCGGCTCTGACCATTTCGCCAGTGACGCTGCGCACGTCGAGCCTCTTCTTCTCCCTGTTGAGCGTCGCCAGCATACCGGCCGCGTTGACCGCCTCGGCGTACTTCTGCCTCACCAGCTCCCGCAGACCCACCGGCGGCTTCACACGCTCGGGTGCAGCCGCAGGCTGAGGCTCACCTGGCTGATCTGCGTCATGAGTGGATGTGGTGGCGGCGGCTGTGGTGAGGCGTGTGGCAAAGGGGGTGGGAAGCAGGCTGCTAATGCCGCCGCGGCCTTTGAGTATCTCGTCAAAGGCAATCATGCCCGCTGTGGGGAAGGGAAACGGCTGATGCAAACAAACGGCCTGATCCGCCTCGTGTGCCTGCACAAGCAGCAATGACAACAACAGCGCCAGTCAGTCAAAGCCATAGAGAGCAACCGGTGTGGTCAGAACTGGTCCCTCCCGCATGTCGTTCCTCTACCTTGCCTTGCTCGTGGATCAGATCTCTTCCTGAATCACCGCTGTACGCTCACTGACGCTCATCTTTTGCCTCATGGTCCCACCTCTTCTCGAAACCGCTGATGAGAACTGCCAAGCTCGCAGCTGCGATTGATGAGGTCGCGGTTTTGATGGTTTTGGGGCTGTTTGTGGAGGCCGATGGACCACCAGGAGGGTGGTCAGCAGCAAGACGGGACTCAGGGAAGCGACTTTCTCGAGGTCAGCGGAGCACCACTCCACTTCATGCGATGCATCTCATCAATGGATGACGTGACGTTTTCCTGTGTTGCTGCAGTCTCTGCGCCTTCGCCTGGCGACCACACAGCGCAACCTGCAGCGCCTTAGCGCAGACGTAAGCGAAATCAATGCTCTCGAACGCCTTACCTGCAACGACGAACGAGCTGCAATGCCATCCATCATGATGTCGGTCGCGTGACACTGTGTGTGCCTTGCACTGGACTGCTGTGTGTGTTTCAGTACCCTCGCGAGAATGAGTCCCCGAGTGAGGTGCAGGCCACCCCTCACAACCACGGCAGCCATTCACGCGGTGGTGGGGGAGGGGGAGGGGCGCCGGTGGTCAACGTATCGGACAACCGGATCGCGTCCGCCACTTCCCGCTACCTGCACTCTGCTGCCAGCAGCGACGGGCCCTCCCCCCCACCCGCGTCTGTCGCATCGCAGTCGGCTCCAGGCCGGCCACAGTACTCTTCGCTCTCGAATCGTCGGGCGGTGAGGGGAGGCGTCAACCATAGGCTGGCCAACGGGCAGGGAGGGGGGTACCAGTCCTTCGGCTCGCCGATGTCTCTGCCGGAGGACCAGCAGCCGCCACGGGACCCTCAAAGCAGCTCGGGGACATCGGGTGAGTCCCTGCCTGCCTGCCTTGTCAGAGAGCGGCAGAATGAATGGATGGATGGCAGAAGTTGGTCTTTGTGTGTTTGTATGTTGGTTGGTTAGGCGATTCGCCGTTGAGTCGTGACACGTTTCGTCGGCCGTTCAGGGCGTATGGGCAGCAGGGGCGGAATGGCGACTACCTGTTGGTGCAGCAGAGCAGCCTCGACATGGCGGGCAGCATGTCCGACGACATGCCGGGCGACCTCAAGTCGACCGACCGGGGCTTCACCAACACCAACTCACACCGCAGTGGCCACCATCACCACCACCACCACCAGCAGGCAGCACCACCCCCGCCACCCATTCCCATAATCCCTGGCATGGACCCTTCCCCGTCCTCTTCATCTGCCGCCGAGGCCAATCTCCGCTTCAGCCAGCTTCGCCGGCCGTCGTCTCGCCTAGACGTCACCTTCCAGAACGACATGGCCAACGCATTCATGGGGAGCTCACCTGACGCCTCCGGCCGGTCCGCTTCTGCTGACCACGATCTCGACCATGACCATGATCATGATCACGAGCCGATGCGCGTCATGTTTCGAGGGGGGCGGCACCGCGGCGAGCCCCCTCCAATCGACCTACCCCCTTCGCCGCTCTCTGTGCCCGGCGCGGCTCGGCTGGACCCACCGGCGACAACCATCCTCTCTGAACGGGGGCAGAGTGAGCGCATGAGGGGTGGTGGTGGTGGTGGTGTTGGGAAGGCCAAGCAGAGGCGAGGCGGCAAGCCGGTCGACAATGCCCCTGGTGGTGCTGGTGGGGGGGTCGGCTATGCTGGAGGTGCGATGGTAGCGAACGGTCCCGTGCCTATTCCATCGCCTCTTTCGTCGACAGGCCAGGCTCCGATGCCGCGTGTGTTCCCGCCCCCGGGTCATGGTCATGCTCACGCATCGATGTACCGCGTCACGTCGCTGCCGTCCCTCGCGCCGTCGCCCCCTATTCATGCCGGCATCCACCCAGCAGCAGCAGCAGCCGCTGCTGCTGCTGCAGCGGGAGCCCCCACCCCCTTCCCCCTCCCAGCTGCGCCCCCTCCCTCCGCTCTGTCTCTCGTACCACTGCAGCCGCCACCTTCGTCAGCAGGGTCCATCCACCCTCCCCCCGGATGGCCGCCAGGCAGCAGTGGCAATGTGCCGCAGATTCCTGGGTATGAGAATGTGCCGCCGAAGCCTCACCCTGCGTCATACGTGCTGGAGCTCTACCTCCGGACGGCGGCCAAGCGTGTGTGGATGGCTGTGGTGCGTGTGCGGGCGGAGCTCCTGTGGGAGGTCTTCGTCAAGTGGAAGTGCCAGGCGCGGCTGCATCGGCTGCAGCAGAGGTATGAGCGCGTGTTGGCTGGCCTGCGGTACGAGCTGAGGCAGATCGAGAGCGACGGCGCCAAGTCGGAGGAGCTGCTCATCGCCGAATGGGCTGACAAGAGGAAGGTGCCCCATGTCCACCCCCCTCTGACTCCCAGACCCACGTGTGTGTGTGTGTGTGTGTGTGTGCATCAGAGCCATCGTGTGTCGTCGACTGGGACGCCTGTGCCTCTGCACGACATCGAGCGGTGGTACTCGTCCAAGCTCGACGCCCAGCGGCAGCAGGTCACACACAAAATCAACGTAGCCAAGATGGAACACATCAAACAGCTCAAAAGACTCCGCGTAAGCCCTGAGGGCCACCGACACACACACACACACAGAGATAGAAAGGAAGAGTCAACAACAAGCTCTCTCTCTCTCTCTCTCTCTCTGTGTGGGGGGGGGGG